TGATAAATTCACAATTTGCCACAATTCAGCATCTGAAAATGTACCATTAATTTCTGCCACAAAAGTAACTCAGCGTATGGTTGTGACTACAATGACCACATGTACTACATGTGGTTATTTCCTTGGTGGTAACCCTTTAGTGAAAGAAGGCATGATTCCATCATCATCATCTGACATATTTCCTACAGTAACAGCAAAACTCCAGGCATCCAAAAGGAAGATTGTTACAGAAGCCAGGGTCATAATAGTAGATGATTTGTGTAGGAAGTTAGAAGAAAAGAAAAGGAGAAAACTCGAAGTTGAGAGAAGAATAGGGGAAAGAGAAGAAAGGAAGATAGAAATTTAAACATAAAAGGCAGAAACATCAAAATTGAAAGAAACAAAAACAAAGGCGCAGGAGTTAAGAAATTTTATCCACAAATGGTAAACACCCCAGCCCAGTTGATATATGCTGTGGTGTTCCACAGGGGTCTGTTCCTGGACCTGTTCTCTTCATTTTATACACGCAGCCTCTCTCAAGTGTCATAGATCTGTCTGGTTCATCTCAATATCTACTTCAGAAACTTCAAAATGTTCACAATACTGCTGCTCTTATCATCCTCAGAGTATCACGATCAGAGCAAGGAGTTAGGTTCAAGTCCAACTTGGTCAAAATGGACACAAATTGTATCCGCAAATGGAATAGACACCAGCCCACTTGATTTATGCTGTGTTGTTCCACAGGGGTCTGTTCTTGGACCTGTTGCCTTCATTATATACACTCAGCTGCTCTCAAGCGTAATAGATCATCATCCAGTGTTTCACCAATTGTATGCTAATGACACCCAAATATACAAATCTAGCCATCCAGCTAAAGTTGAAGCTATCATGCAAGGCGTAGAGAGGTGCATTTCTGATGTGAAACCATGGATGACATGTAACAAGCCGCAGATGAATGATGATAAAACTGAAGCCATCCTGATTACAACACAAAGACTTTCTCATTCACATCCTTTACCTCAGCCATTAATTATCAGCAACACCAACATTAAATTCAAGCAGTCAGTACACAACCTTGATGTTACTCTGGACAATACTCTCTCATTGCATCAGCATATCATGAACATATGCCGGGCTGCATATCTAGAGCTGAGATGCATTAGCTCCATTCGCAAGTATCTTTCAGTTGATGACACTAAAACTCTTGTGTGTTCTTTAGTACTTTCAAGGCTGGACTATTGTAACTCAATTCTATCTGGCTCATCTCAATATCTACTTCAGAAACTTCAAAAAGTTATGAACACTGCTGCTCGGATCATCCTTAGAGTACCACGATCAGAACACGACTCTCCGCTGCTCAGTAACTTACACTTGCTATCCATACGATCCAGAATCAAACACAAAATAATTTGTTCTCTGTGCTACGTTTCACTGACGGGCTTCAGTCCAACATACCTATCTGAACTAACCCACGTGTACACACCTGCAAGGTGCTTAGGCTCCTTTTCTGACACTCGTATTCTGACACTCGTATTCTGACACTCGTATTATATTTTTAAGTACACACCTGTAAGGTGCTTAGGCTCCTTTTCGTATTCTCATTATCCCCACTATGAATTTGAAATCATATGGATCACGTTCTTTCGCATACCAGGGCCCATTAACGTGGAACAAATTGCCCACTACACTTAGACACAAAGACACGGTGATCGCATTCAAGATCGCTCTTAAAACTCATTTATTTCAACTGCAAGAACAGACATAAAGACCTAATAATGTATCCTTATAACGTATCCTTACCTTGAACAATTCACAGCATGTTTTTCTGTTTTTAATTTTGTAGTGTTTGTTTTTAATTTTGCAATAATATTATATATGTTCTTTATTATTTTAAAGTGTTGTCAAATGTTGTAAAGCGCTTAGAGCTTCTAAAGATTATGCGCTACATAAGTGCTCTTTATTATTATTGTATTATTATTATTATTATTATTATTATTATTATTATTATTATTATTATTATTATTATTATTATTATTATTATTATTATTATTAAGAAACAACATGAAAATTAACAAGGTTTGCAGATGTAAGCAACAGGAGCCAATACCATTAGACATGAAAGGCGAATGTATTTACAGGATAGAATGTGACAATTGTAGCATATGGTACCATCAGGTATGTGTGGGCATTGAAGGTCCTGATGCTGTTAAATCCTATGTCATCTGTGAAAACTGAGCTGTGTAAAAATGTGAAGTGATAAATATATATTTATTATTAATTTTAATTAAACTTGATATTTGTGAATAAAATATATTACTTCAGAAATAATTGGACATTTAATAAAGATGAATGGAAACATGACTGCAGGTTACTAAAACTACATTCTAAAAACATGGAAAACCTCATGCTTGAATAATTTTTATAATATAACCGGAAATAAATGTCAAATACTATTGCAAATGTCCATGTAATTTTTCATGTTCAGAAACAAATATCACTAATTTAATTTTGTTAATGTTTGCTTAGTAATGTTTGTACCTGACTTGTTGAATTTGCTATAGTTTTCCATTTTTTTTTTCTTTCAAAAATAATGCTTATCCAAGTTATAATTTGACTTGGTATTTTTGTTGTTACTTGTTAGCAATTGGGGAAATATAGGAAACATTTCATAAAAAAATAACTAATGAAGCATGGAATAGTATGTAATAAATCAAAAGGTAATAATAATAATAATAATAATAATAATAATAATAATAATAATAATAATAATAATAATAATAATAATAATAATAATAATAATAATATAATAATAATAATAATAATAATAATAATAATAATAATAATAATAATAATAATAATAATATTAATAATATTAATATGTGGGGGGAGGTCTAGCCTAATAAATATCTCAACAGACTCCTAATAGGTCCCATAATAGATTATATGACTTAAATGTGTAATAATAATAATAATAATAATAATAATAATAATAATAATAATAATAATAATAATAATAATAATAATAATAATAATAATAATAATAATAATAATAATAATAATAATAATAATAATAATAATAATAATAATAATAATAATAATAATAATAATATCTTCTTGTTAAAAAAATTAAAATATTAGTGTTACTGACGGATGGGAAGGATCACCTATGGGATTTTGTTATCAGTGCTTGAATACACAATGGTGATCTAAGATCTAGGTTATTTTATTTTGATGGAACGTCTCATTTCGTAAACAAAATCTTATGTTCCCCCTACATACCCACTTACCATACTTTGTCACGGTCAAACGCGCATCCGCAATGACCGCATGTGCGACTTGAAAAGAGAATTGTAAATACTGCTGAGATAACATATTTATGTGCGATTTTAAAATATAATTTGTTCAATCATCAATCGAGAAAATATGTAACATTTATATTTACACAAATTTGCTAGAAGTTTATGATATGTATAAATATATTCAGTAGATATAGCGTTGGCCGTTACCGGTCCTGAGTCTAACGCCGTACGCTAAATTCGATAGCGATATATTATCCCTGTTACGAAGTTAATGTTTCAAATTTTCATTATGGCTTAAGTTCGTAATATGGCCAGGTTTGTTGTCATAAGAAATGGATTTCATATCGGTATTTTGAAGACTAAACTGATCAAAAACATAAAAAATTGACCGTCACTAGTCCGACACCAGCAGTGGTTATTCAGTGGTATACAGTATCAGCATTTCTCCATTCCTACTGTCTTTTCTCTCGCTATCATCATCATCATCATCATCATCATCATCATCATCATCATCATCATCATCATCATCATCATCATTAAAAAAGTACAAATCTCATACAAGTATCATATTTTCTTCTTCACTATTATTTTCTGTTAAGAAGAAAACTCGGTACAAACAACAAATGATCGTAGTGACAACTTCTAAAAAATCTATCAATTTTTTTTTAAATCCACCTGTCCGTCTTGGCTTTAATATTTTTTTAAGTTTAATGACGTTATTAATCGTTATTTCTACTATCCGAATTTTAACTACATATTTCCGTTCTGGAAATTCATATATAATTATCATTTGATACATTCTAAAATAAAAAGTTAAACAATTCATCTTTATCAAATTACTTTCATGATGTGATTCCGCCTGTGGTAGAATGGGCTACTTCCGTCTGATGGAAAGGGTTTGTGACCGTAATTGTGAAAATAAAGGTCAATTTGCCGAATTGGATTCATGCGATGGTCGTCCGAGAGTTATGCGTTCGTACGTTACTGTCTTTTGAATGGATATGTGTAGTTTTTCAGTCTTCTTGATATTCGGAAGCGATAAAAGACGAGTGAGAAATGTCGATTTGAGCAGAGGGTTGTGGTCACGTTGCACTTCCTGCGTTCATTTATTATGCCGATAATGTGATTTCATGATGTCAGAAACTTCGTCGTACTTTATTGATAAAACGTCAGTCTCCTTTGATAACAGTATCGAAAGAGAATCCAACTGTCTTTGTAGATTAGGTGAAATGTTTCGATGTTAGAGATTCTGAATAAGCATTGCTTTATTTTACGCATCCAATCGATAATTATCTTGTGCAGGTATTATATCTGATATGATGTGATTATGATTTTTAACGTAGCTTTAACAATTATTCAGTCATATCGCAATGATGTCTACAGTGTGTTAGTTCATAGTGATGTCTAACACCGGGGCATCATGCCGCAGACATGTAGCATGATGTCCCACCCAGTCACATTATCCTGACACCAGGCCGACCACGAATGTGGATATGTGAGAAAGCTTACCAGTAGCTTCTCGTGGGTCGGTGGTTCTTTCCGGTGATTTCCCGGTTTCTTCCTCCACCATTAATACTTGCCGCCATGAATAGCCTATCGTGTGCTGAAAAATGGCGTTAAGCCTAACAACAACAACAACAACCAGGCCGACCAGTCCTAACACTAACCTCTTGGTGCTGAGCGCCAAGCGAGGCAGCTAATAGTAACATTTTTATAAGTCTTTGGTATGACAGCCGGGAATAGAAACCACGACCTCCCGCATCCGAAGCGAACGCTCTAACCACTAGGCCATTGGAGAAGTCCCCAATTTTATTAGACAATCTTCTTCATGTATAGCACTGTGCTTTCAAGGTTTTTGCGAATTTTTTCAGACATGTGATGAAAATATCAGCCCCAAATAAAGAGCTCTCAGTTCTATGGTCTGAAAATCTCTGTTAAAATATTAATTTCTACTTTAAAAAAATGCATATAGATACAAATATTTGTAATGTCCTGGAAATATCGGGAGTAAGACTTTTACAAATAAATATTAAAGATATTAATTACTAAAAGTATGTGAATCGTAGATCTAAAACTAACAATGTTTCAACAGCCAGCATAAATCCCAAGTTCAGGTCACCTTATACTCATTTTCAGCCCTAAGCTTCTTTTTCCATCCTTACCAAAGCATGATCATTGCAGAACGAAACCGAACGAAGAGTTGCAACGTCAAAAGGAAGGACAAGAATGTGCTCAACAACAACAAGAGGGAAAATAAAGCAATAAGAAGAGAAGGGAAAAGCTTTGAACAAAAAACAGGAGTGAGAAATTAAAAACAAAAGTTTTTCTGGTACAAGACACTTTTGTGGACTTCAGACATCCGAGAGAAATGTATCAGGTTTACGCAGTCCAACAGACAATGAAACAGCCTTCACAATCCTAGACTTCAAAACCTTATTTGACTAAATCTATGTTAACAACTGAGATGACATCAGCTGCAACAGAAACATTTACTATTACAATTACCACAGCAGTAGCAGGAATATAATGGACCGTTCCATAAAAAAGAGTTGCAATTGATCATATAAAGTCCCTAAGTTTTTTGTTTGTTCAAAAAGCAAAAGTAAAATCCTTCCCAAGGCTATAAGTATCTCTTAGAAAAGAGACACAACTCAGTGATTTTCAAATCAAACTTATATCCTCCATGATTAAACATATCAGAATGTGAATATCCATACTAACAGAAAAAATGAGAGACTTGGTTTCATTGGTTTGAAATTCACGTGAAATATGAATCAGAATCAATTAAATAACACAACACAAAAGTCCATTCTTTTTTTCTTTCCTTTCTTTTTCCTTTTTCTTATCTGTTTCTTTCTCTTTCACTTATGAATCTCATTTACTTTTCTTACCTTGTTTTTCTTTACTGATATGGATTCACGTTCTGTTTTTCTGCTTCCGAAGAATGATCAATTTTTTTGCACCCATGAAAGACCAAAACAAAACAAAACAACCCCTCCCCCAAAAAAAAACAAACAAAAAAAAAAAAAGAAAAAAAGAAAAAGAAAATAATGCATTGTCCTACTTGCAAGCGAACTGATACGAGGATGATGGGCAATCCGGACGGATACAACGATGATGAAACGATTAGTCTAAACAACAACGAGTGGCATTACGGAGGGAACAAAGTGCCATTGCCAGAAAGTATGTAATAATGCTAGAGGGGTGAAAAGACGAATACGTGATGCAGTTTACATGAATGTCAGCAGCAACGCATTTTTATCCGGGAAGTCGGTGGAGGCATCCAGCTAGGGAGCTTCTTAGCTCCTGCTTTATCAGTGACAGAATGCCTAGACGTGATTGTAGAAGATCACACTTTAGATTTGTAACAGGAGGACCTTTCAGAGCAGAGGGTGGAATGAGAGGCACATGTACTGACTGAAGAACCCCAGCAACCAGCAATACGGGATGGAAAGGTGAAAAGGATAGCATTGAGAAAAATCTGCTAACACTCACAATGATTGTTTATGAAGTCGGGAATGACAGATTTGGGCTCGAGAGACAAAGAAACATAGAAGCGAGTGTGCGAAGGCCAAACAAAATACAGCTACAGATTAAAAGGATGTGGAGGGAGCTACATCTGCTCAGCAGAGAGATGGTCTTAGATCAAGACTGAAGACAATTAGGGCAGCAGAAAGTATCAAGAAGAGGAAAGGGAAAAGCAAGAAACAAGCATTCATTTCCAATCCATACAGATTTAATTCAGCCTTACAAGTGGGAGAAAAGTCTGGAAAGATGGAGAGCAGCAAAAAGGAGGTAGAAGCAAATTTTAAAGTTACCTACTCGAGTCATCAGAGGGAAGAGCCTCTTGGTAACTGCAGGAAAATTGATCCTGTGGAGCCACCAAGCAAACTTCTAGTCATGAAAGAACCGACATGGAAGGAGATTTATGATGATGTAAAAAAAGCCCGATTGTGTTCAGCTACAGAGCTCAGCGGAATACCATTATAAGGTCTACATGAAATGTCTGAAGCTTTTGAGAAGTTTGTGGCAACGTCTCCGCATAGTGTGGAGGAAAATTAACATTCCAGGATTTTGTCAACAGACTGAAAGTTGCTTCACAACAAAGGAGGACTCCAGATCAATCGAGCAATGCAGGAGAACCATGCTGCTAAGCAATAAGATCTTCTCTATTTTGGGAATATGGATGACAGCACTCATGATAGATATAATGACAATTCTGTCCAAAAAGTGGAATTCCATGAATTTCTGGTTGTGTGGAACATACCAGAGCAATGACCCAGCTTCTGCATGAAGCTAGAATAAACCTGAAAGACCTTACAGTCTTTATAGTTCAATACCCAATACAACTCTACATGACCACCATGTCCCTAATCATTTCATAATCAGGAGCTGCATCAACAATATACACTTGAAATTCTCAAATAGCATGTTGAAAACTACATGGATAAAAATGGAAAAAGGCATTGTAAGTGGGTGTGCTATCTCTGTAACTTTGTGATGGGAATGAACCTCATCATAGTTAGGGCATCAAACTTACAGTTACTATGGGAAATAGACTTGTAGTTAGTTAGGGGATCAGACTTGTAGTTAGATAGGCCATTAGCCTTGTAGTTAGATAGGCCATTAGACTTTTAGTTAGATAGGCCATTAGCCTTTTAGTTAGATAGGCCATTAGCCTTGTAGTTAGATAGGCCATTAGCCTTGTAGTTAGATAGGCCATTAGACTTTTAGTTAGATAGGCCATTAGACTTTTACTTAGATAGGCCATTAGACTTTTAGTTAGATAGGCCATTAGCCTTCTAGTTAGATAGGACATTAGCCTTGTAGTTAGATAGGCCATTAGCCTTGTAGTTAGATAGGCCATTAGACTTTTAGTTAGATAGGCCATTAGACTTTTAGTTAGATAGGCCATTAGCCTTGTAGTTAGATAGGCCATTAGACTTTTAGTTAGATAGGCCATTAGCCTTTTAGTTAGATAGGCCATTAGCCTTGTAGTTATATAGGCCATTAGCCTTGTAGTTAGATAGGCCATTAGACTTTTAGTTAGATAGGCCATTAGACTTTTACTTAGATAGGCCATTAGCCTTGTAGTTAGATAGGCCATTAGCCTTGTAGTTAGATAGGCCATTAGCCTTGTAGTTAGATAGGCCATTAGCCTTGTAGTTAGATAGGCCATTAGACTTTTAGTTAGATAGGCCATTAGCCTTGTAGTTAGATAGGCCATTAGCCTTGTAGTTAGATAGGCCATTAGACTTTTAGTTAGATAGGCCATTAGCCTTTTAGTTAGATAGGCCATTAGCCTTGTAGTTAGATAGGCCATTAGCCTTGTAGTTAGATAGGCCATTAGACTTTTAGTTAGATAGGCCATTAGCCTTGCAGTTAGATAGGCCATTAGCCTTGCAGTTAGATAGGCCATTAGCCTTGTAGTTAGATAGGCCATTAGACTTTTAGTTAGATAGGCCATTAGACTTTTAGTTAGATAGGCCATTAGCCTTGTAGTTAGATAGGCCATTAGACTTGTAGTTAGATAGGCCATTAGACTTGTAGATAGATAGGCCATTAGACTTTTAGTTAGATAGGCCATTAGACTTTTAGTTAGATAGGCCATTAGCCTTGTAGTTAGATAGGCCATTAGACTTTTAGTTAGATAGGCCATTAGACTTTTAGTTAGATAGGCCATTAGCCTTGTAGTTAGATAGGCCATTAGACTTGTAGTTAGATAGGCCATTAGACTTTTAGTTAGATAGGCCATTAGCCTTGTAGTTAGATAGGCCATTAGACTTGTAGTTAGATAGGCCATTAGCCTTGTAGTTAGATAGGCCATTAGCCTTGTAGTTAGATAGGCCATTAGACTTTTAGTTAGATAGGCCATTAGCCTTGTAGTTAGATAGGCCATTAGACTTTTAGTTAGATAGACCATTAGCCTTGTAGTTAGATAGGCCATTAGACTTTTAGTTAGATAGGCCATTAGCCTTGTAGTTAGATAGGCCATTAGACTTGTAGTTAGATAGGCCATTAGCCTTGTAGTTAGATAGGCCATTAGACTTGTAGTTAGATAGGCCATTAGACTTGTAGTTAGATAGGCCATTCGCCTTGTATTTAGATAGGCCATTAGACTTTTAGTTAGATAGGCCATTAGACTTTTAGTTAGATAGGCCATTAGACTTTTAGTTAGATAGGCCATTAGCCTTGTAGTTAGATAGGCCATTAGACTTGTAGTTAGATAGGCCTTTAGCCTTGTAGTTAGATAGGCCATTAGACTTGTAGTTAGATAGGCCATTAGCCTTGTAGTTAGATAGGCCATTAGCCTTGTAGTTAGATAGGCCATTAGCCTTGTAGTTAGATAGGCCATTAGCCTTGTAGTTAGATAGGCCATTAGCCTTGTAGTTAGATAGGCCATTAGACTTGTAGTTAGAGCAGCATAGCAGCACAACTTTCTGAGTATCTCTACCTGAACTCCGCTGCTTACAACTGGTGTTGGTGGTAGAAATGGCTAATTATTGCTATTGCTCTTTACTGAAATCCTAAGGGAAAAAAAATCACATTAAGTTTAAGATATACTGAATTTTATGACAACATTGATCTTAAAAAATTTCAAGATGTTATCAGTGCATGAACCTTTGTTGGTTCCAAATGCACTATAATAAATAAACTGTTAATACTTCTTTTTGAAAAATGATGTGCTTGAATGCAAAAATTACTAATCTGGCAGCATCTGGCACGGGTGCAATCCAAAACAAATCAAAGCCTGGGCCTGAATATCAAGCCCAAAATCAAAGCTTTGGTGTAAA